GGCACCTAAGTCAGACTCCTATTTATTGACTTTAGCTCCGCCTTCAACACCATAATTCCAACCAAACACAACTCCAAACTCCAAGATCTAGGACTCTGCTCCCCCTCTACAATGGGATCCTCGACTTCCTGAGCTGCAGACCTCAATCAGTGAGGGCAAGCAACAACAATAATCCTCAACATCGCAAGGCTGCGTACTCAGCCCCTTACTTTACTCCTTATACACTCACAACTGTGTGGCCAAATTCAGCTCTAACTCCGTTTACGAATTTGCTGATGACCCCACCGTAAGCGGCTCGAATCTCAAACAATAATAAGACAGATTACAGGAAGGAGATACAGAGTTTGGTGGCATAGTGTAAAGACAATAATGTCTCCCTCAATGCCAGCACAATGAAGGAGCTGGTCATCGACTTCAGCAAGTGGAGTGGAGGACACACCCCTCTCTATCAATGGTGCTGAGGTCAAAATTGCCAAGAGCTTCAAGTTCCTAGGAATAAATGTCACGAACGATCTGTCTTGGTCCATAAATGTTGTCACTACAGTCAGAAAGCACACCAACATCTCCACTTCCTCAGAAGCTAAGGAAATTTGGCATGTTCACAACGGCTCTGACCAATTTTTATAGATGCACCACAGAAAGCATCCTATCCAGATGCATCACTGTGTGGTATGGCAACTGCTCTGCCCAAGACTGCAAGAAACTACAGATTTGTGATAATACTTTTCACTGTATCTCAGTATATGTGACAATAATAAATCAAATCAAATCAAATTTATCAACTGTACCTTCAGTCACTGTATTCAAAGCATTTATATAAATTGTAAGGAATTGAAGCTCCAGCACTGATTTCTCTGGCATACCACTTGTTACATCATGGTTCCCTGGTTCCCCTTTGTCCGGAGCATATTTTATTTTTTCAAAGAACTGCAATAAACTGATTGAATATGATTTCCCTTTCACAAATCACATTGATTCTGCCTGAAGGCTCTGCCATAACATGTTTATTAATAGCTTCTAATGCTTTCTCTATGACAGATATTCCTGCTATCAGTCACCTTCCCTTTTTGAAGGAAGTAGTTATAGTCACTATCCTCCAATTTAATGGAATCTTCTCTGAATCAAGGGAAATTTGGAAAAATTAGAACCAATGCATCAACTGTCTCATTTCTTGTAAGACCGTATGAAAAAGTCCATCAAGACCTGGGAACCTGTAAGCCTACAGCTCCAACATTTCACTCAGTATCACTTCCCTTCCTCCCATTTTTTGAATTGTGGCTCCTTCTGGGATGTTGCTTGTGAAGACCAATGCAAAATACCAATTCAATTTATATCCTTATTTCTCCGTATTTTGCTTTATTAATTCCTCAGACTTGTTTTACACAGGACCAATGTTCAATTTGTTGATTCTTTGCCTTTGTATATATCTATAAATGCTTACTGTTTATCTTTACATTTATTTATGTACTTTTTTCTATATATTTTCGATATGTGCTGTTAAAAAGAATGACTAGGTACTTGGTTATTGATGAAATGTGACACATTTTGTCAAAGGTTTTCATCTTATTTTAGTCAGGACATTTCACAAGAATACCAATTCAAGGGGGAAACCAATTTCTGTACTGTGTGAAGGAACATCTCTGATTTATTGCGAAGGAAAGTTGACATTTTGGGTCAGGACCCTTCAGAAATGGGGAGGGGGAAAGGAGCTTGGAAATAAATAGAGAGACAAAGGGTGGGGCTGGGTAAGGTAGGTGGGATTGGTGATAGGTAAGTGCAGATAGGGAGTGCAAGGCGGTTCGAAACTGACATCTATTTCAAGCACACTGACTCCCACAGCTACCTGGACTACACCTCCTCTCACCCACCTTCCAGCAAGAATGTGATCCCCTACTCTCAATTCCTCTGCCTCCGTCGTGTCCGCTCCCAAGATGGAGCGTTCCACTCCCAGACATCCCAGATGTCCTCCTATTTCAAAGACTACAAATGTTTCCCCCTCTCTCTGGTGATCAAAAATGCCCTCAACCACATCTCTTGCATTTTCTGCACTTCTGCCCTCAAACCCCCTTCCCCCAACAAAAATAAAGACAGAAACCCCCTTGTCCTCACATATCACCCCCCAAACCTCCATATCCAGCATATCATTCTCCGCTACTTCCGCCACCTACAATCTGACCCGACAACCAAAGAGAGACTTCCTTCCCCACCCCAACTGCCTTTTGTAGGGACTGTTCTCTCCGCGACTCCCTCATCCGCTCCACACTCCCCCCTAACCCCACCACACCCAGCACCTTTCTCTGCAACCACAGGAAGTGCCTTAACTGCCCCTACACCTCCCCCCTCACCTGCATGCAAGGCCCAAAACCAAACCTTTCATATCAGACAGGAGTTCACCTGCACATCCGTCAACTTGGTCTAGTGTATCAGTTCCTCACTGATGTGGCCTTCTCTACAACAGTGAGACCAAACGGAGAATCAGAGACCGTTTCGTAGAGCATCTGCGCTCTGTACTTGACAAACAACAACACCTTCTGGTCACGAACCATTTCACCTCTGGGTGACATGTCCATCCTGGGCCTCCTCCAGTGTCACAGTGACGTCACCTGCAAACTGGAGGAGCAACACCTCATATCTGCTTCAGGAGCCTACAGCCTGATGGCCTAAACATGGAATTCACCAGTTCTAAAATCTCCCCACCCCCGGTCTCATCCTATGTCTAACCCTCCCTCTCATCCCCACCTCCTTGACCTGACACAACCTGTATATCATCTGCCCCACCCATCCCACTGACCAATCCCCACCACTCCCTATGTGCACTCACCTATTAACATCCCATCCCCATCTACCTTCCCAAGCCCAACCCCTCCTCTATTTATTTCTGAGCTCCTTTCCCCTACCCCATTTTTGAAGAAGGGTCCCAACCCGAAACGTCAACTTTCCTGCTCCTCTGAAGCTGCCTGGCCTGCTGTGTTCCTCCAGCTCCATACTGTGTTATCTCTGACTCCAGCATCTGCAGTTCTTGCTATCTCTGATTTGTTGATATGTGGTCTCCTTCCGACAGAGGTACTGCCAATGGAGAATACAGTTTGTGTAAATATTCTTTCTTGTCTGCAAAGAATGGAGCTTTGTTTACAAATACAATTCTGAGAGACAGGATTGACATGCATTTGGAGAGGCAAGGACTGATTAGAGATAGTCAGCGCAGCTTTGTGCATGGGAAATCGTGTCTCATAAACTTTGAGTTTTTTGAGTTTTAACCAAAAAGATCGATGAAGTGATAGACATTGCATACTTTACTAAACAGACTTTAGTAAAGCCTTTGACAAGGTTGCATTTGGTAAATTAATCAGTAAAGTTAGATCACATGGGATTTAGGGAGGGCTTGGCACTTGGATTCAAAGTTAAGACAGAGGGTGGTGATGGAGGGGTTTTTTCATACTGAAGGCCTGTGACTAGTGGTGTTCTGAAGGGATGGGTGCTGGGTCCACTTTTGCATGTCATTTATATAAATGATTTTGTTGAGAATTTAAGAGGCATGGTTAGTAAGTTTGCAAAAGACACCAAAATTGATGGTATAGTCGATGGTGAGGAAGGTTATCCAGGATTACAAAGGGATCTTGATTACTTGGGCAATGGGCTGAGGAGTGGCAGATGGAGTTTAATTTGGATAAATGCAAGGTATTGCATTTTGGTACAACAAACAATGACATGACTTGTGCAGTTATTGATAGGGCCCTGGGTAGTGTTGTAGAACAGAGAGACCTAGGGGTGCAGATACATTGTTCTTTGAAAGTTGTGTCACAGGAACAGGGAAGTGAAGAAGGCATTTAGTATGCTTGCCTTCATTGCTCATACCATTCAACATAGGAGTTGAGAATCATGCTGAGACTGTACAGGATGCTGGTGATGCTACTTTTGGAGCATTGTGTACAGCTCCGGTCACCCTGCTACAGGAAGGATATTATTAACTTGGAGGGAGTTCAAAAAAGGTTTATCAGGATGTTGCCAGGGCTGGAGAGTTTGAGTTGGATGGGCTGGGACTATTTTTCCTAGAGCATTGGAGGTCTAGGGGTGACTTCATAGGCATTTATAAAATCATGAGGAGCATTTATAAGATAAATAGCAAAGATCTTTTTCCCTAGGGTGGGATAGTTCAAAACTAGGGGGCATATTTTTCAGGTGACAGGGGAAACGTTTAAAAGGGATTTGAGGGGCAAATTTTTCACACAAAGGGTGGTTCAGGTGTTGAATAAACTGCCAGAGGAAGTGGTAGACTCAGGCACAGTGACAACATTTTAAAGAGATTTAGACAGGTACATGAATAGGAAAGGTTTGCAGGGATATGGACCAAATGCAGGCAAATGGAACTGGTTTAATTTGGGTGATTTGGCATGAATGAGTTGAACCAAAGTGTCTGTTCCCATGTTGCATGACTCTGTGACTCTATAACTTGCTGGATCATCAATGGGGCTTGCAAAGTGGCACAATGTGTGCACCGAAATCTCTACATAAAAGAGTTCTGCTCTCTGCAGACAGCCAGAATATGTACACACGCTGAGCCAGTTTCATTTCAATAGGTGACATTAGGTGAAATAGCCATTCAATGGTTCATTTCTCAGGGCAGTGCTGTGACCAATTGGAGTTAAGCTGCCAGATTTAAAATGCAATTAAGGCCTGGCTGTTAGCAGTCAATAAGCATTAATTGATCATTCCCATGGCAGCAGCTTTTTCAATTCGAGTCTGCTTGCTAACCAGTCAGTGTTTTTCTCTCATGCAATGTTGAAGTAGATTTTCCCTTTGGTTTGGTATTCTTGCAAATTGTCCTGATGAGTGCAAGTCAAAAAGCTTCAGTAGAATATGTGTTTTTAAGCAATACTCAAGATATTTATTATGATCTGTTTTTGTACATTTTACTAACCTAACCACTGGTACTTATAATATTTTAAACCTTAGGAACTGAAAGTGTCAACTCACAAGCTGTTGATTTGTGTATTTTTTAGCAGGATATCATCACAAAGAATGTGCAGAAATGGTCAAGTGAAGATCTCGAGGATTCAGTATCGATGGAGGAGGTGAATCCAGTTCTCTGTGATTTAGATGATCTTTTCTCTGATATCTCAGACACACTGTTTACCACAATGGAGAAGACAAAGCCATGGCCAAATGCAGGTGAAGTTTAAAAGTATTTCATCACCTTGGCACCTACGCTGCTTCTGAGGAAGGTTTAATTTACTTATCCAGATGAAGTTTATGTTGTTAAAATGATCCAGTTATTTCTTAATTAGCTGGAACACTCCTTCCTTTTGGAATTGTTTCTGTGACCATAATGGTTTTTATTTCAATGGACACGGATGAAGAGGGTAATGGATGTGTATTTCACTTTTTACAAACACTTTTCTCCTTTTAAGCCTGAGATATTGAGATATTGTTTAATTGAACCCTTTTCCTTTTTTATCTCCCACTCTTTATTGAAATCAAAGGTAGGGTTTAATAGAACAGCATTCAAAACTGCAAGGGAATTACTTTATTATTCTATCCAGACGCAAGCATTTGGGAAATTAAGGAAGACTGGACAGTATAGGAGATGGATTTTTGTATATCCAGAACAGTTAATGCGAGTTACAACTTCCTGGATGTCAGTGTCCAGTAATAGTTTCCCTTGTGAGCTGGGCCCAGCAGTGTTCCTGCTTTCAGGCAAACCGTAGGCTTCATTGCAGCTAGCAACCTGGAGCCAAGAATGGAGAGTCTGATCCAGGCTCCTAACTCACTCAGCAGGCCTAATCTTCCACTGGAGGTCAAACAGCAATTGACCTAGAATCTCAGAATTGTGCTTTTAAGCAATTCAACCAGTTCTGATGTAGATCATTTGACAAGAATAGGTATTTCAAGAGCTAATGGCCCATCTCAGTGAGCTAATTGGAAGGTCTTATGGGAAGTGTAACAGTGTAGCTTTACCTCCTCCCACTAGATATTGTCATTGTTGTGATGAGACAACTGTAAAAGCACTAGCGCCCATTTAACACAATTGTCTTTGTCCAGAACTTTCTGGAAGTAGACAGCTCATCTCCAGGCTCATCTCTTGACGAGATCTAGAGTGATACCTGGACTGAGTGGGTTGCTTTATGAAGAAAAATTGGATAGGCTGGACTTGTTATCACCAGAGTACAGAAGACCAAGGATAAGATTAGATTGAAATTTATAAGATGCTCACAAATGGTCTTGACAAGCTGGGCATGGAAAAGATGTTAACTGTTATGGGTGAGTCCAAAACTAGGGGGCACTGTTTTAAAATTAGATATCACCCTTTGAGGATAGAGATGAAGGAATGTTTTTCTCTGGGGATTTTGAACACTCTGCCTCAGAAGGCATTGGAGGTGGGGTTTTTGACTACTTTTCAATCAGAAGTAGATAGATTTGGATTAGGCAAGGGAATCTAAGGGTTGAGAAATAGATGGCAATGTAGAATTCAGAACACAAATAGATCATGATCTCATTGAGTGGTAGAGAAGGCTTGAAAGGCTACTTTTTTCACTTGTGCGTGAGAAGGTGTATGTTGTTGACTGGACCAGCATTTATTTTCCATTCCTAATTGTCCTTGAGAAGGTGATGGTGAGCTGTCTTCTTGAACTGCTACGTCCCATTTAGCATCAGTACGCTCTCAATTGGCATTCTAGGATTTTGACCCAGTGACACTGAGGGACTGGCAATATATTTCCAAGTCAGGATGATGAGTGGCTTGGAGGGAATCTTGAAAGTGCTGGTGTTCCCATGTATCTGTTGCTGTTCTCCTTCTAGATGGAAGTGGTCGTGGGTTTGGAAAGTGCTGTCTAAGGAGCCTTGGTGAACTCTGCTCCTTGTTTGCATGTTTGTATTCTCTCTGATCATGTCTTTTCCACAGTAATAAGACTATTAAAGCAACATTGCAGGGTTGAAAAATGGAGGATATCCACTTTGGTTGTTTCTTTGTAAAGTCGACAGAGGCCAGGCCTCCTTCCAGGAGAAGGTCCAGCAGAGGGCGACTGAGAGGGAGAGGCATCACTTTGGCGCACACATCACAGCCTGGAAACAGTCACCTGCACTGAGGAACGGATTATCGTAGGCTTGCTGTCAAGGAGCACTTAAGTGCGAAACATGTTTTCCTTCCTCCTCCCTCTAACCAAAAAAAAGGGGAGACAGATGTGCTATTGAAAATTTGTTGGTGGCAGAGTGAGAAGTAAGGCATTGGCTTGAGAGGCTTTTGTTAGCAGCGGCTCAGCATGAAGTACCAGTAAACTCGGGTAAAGTCCTTTTAACTTTCCTCTTTAGTCTTAGAGCATTTCAGATGGCAATTAGGTCAGTGGCATGTTCCTCCTGCAGGATGTGGGAGCTTAGGGAGACTTCCATCGTTGCTGATGACTACCCCTGTGGGAAGTGCACCCAGTGCAGCTCCTGGGAGACTGTGTTAGGGAGCTGGAACTGGATGCACTCAGGATCATCCGAGATGCTGAGCACATCATAGATAAGAGTTTTAGCGAGCTGGTCACACCTAAGGTGCAGGAATCCCCTGTGGCCATTCCCCTTGAAAACAAGTATACCATCTTGGATACTGTTTGGGGGAAAGCACCGGTAGCCAGGTCAGTGGCACTGTGACTGGCTCTGGGGCACAGTGGGAAAGGGTAAAGGTAAACAGGACCTTAGTGATAGGAGATTCGATAGTTAGGGGGACAGACAGGAGATTCTGTGGCTGCAAATGGGAATCCAGGATGGTGTGTTGCTTCCCAGGTTCCAGGGTCCAGGATGTCTCGGAGCGGCTGCAGAACGTTCTCAAGGGAGAGGGTGAGCAGCCAGAAGTCATTGTACATGTTGGCACAAATGACATAGGTAGAAATAGGGGTGAGGTCCTGTGGAGTGATTATAGAGAGCTAGGAAAAATGTTAAAAACCAGGACCTCGACCGTGGTAATCTCCAGATTACTTCTAGTGTTAGTGAGGGAAAGAACAGGAGGATATGGCAGATAAATGCGTGGCTAAAGAATTGGTGCAGGGCGCAGGGAGTCAGATTCCTGGATCTTTTCTGGGGCAGAAGTGACCTATCCAAGAGGGACGGGTTTCACCTGAACTGGAGGGGGACCAATATCCTGGCAGACAGATTTGCTAGCGTGACAAGGGGGTGGGTGGGGGGGATGCGATCGTCAACAGCAGTGAGGCAAGTGCAAGGCTGGAAGGAGATTCAGTAATTAGAAATAGCAAGTTGAAGAGACAGGTCAGGCTGGAACAGGACAGGGAGCGAGGAATGCCTTTTGGATTAAATTGCATCTATTTCAATACAAGAGGACTGACTGGAATGGCCGATGAACTCAGGGCCTGGATAGGTACTTGGGCCTGGGATATTATAGCCATTAGGAAAACATGGCTAAGGGGGGGGGACAGCTTAATGTGCCAAGGTACAGGTGCTTTAGGCAAGACAGAGGTGGAGGAAAGAGGGGAGGGATACTTGCGTTTTTAATTAAGGGGAGTATCACAGCAGTAGTCAGAGATGAAATAACTGAGGGATCATCCAGTGAGGCCTTCTAGGTGGAGCTAAGAAATAAGAAGGGGATGGAGACATTATTGGTGTTATACTATAGGGCCCCAAATAGTCAATGGGAATTAGAAGAACAAATATGTAGGGAGATTGTGGAGACTTGCAGGAGAAATAGGGTTCTTCTCGTGGGGGTTTTAACTTTCCTAACATAGACTGGGTCTGCCATAGTGTTAAGGGCTTTAGATGGGGTGGAATTTGTTAAATGTGTTCAGGAAAGTTTCCTCAAGCAGTATATAGAGGGTCCTATTCAGGAAGGGGCAAAATCCGACCTATTCTTGGGAAATAGGGCAGGACAGGTGACTGAGGGGACAGTAGGGGAGCATTTGGGACCAGTGACCATAGTTCTATTAATTTTAAAATAGTTATGGAGAAGGACAAAACTGGTCCACAGGTACAAGTTCTAAATTGGGGCAAGGCACATTTTGATGGAATTAGACAGGAGCTTGCAGGGGTTGATTGGAGTAGTTTGTTTGCAGGCAAAGGGACCTCTGGCAATTGGGAGGCCTTTAAAAGTGTGACAGCTACAGTTCACGCTCTGTGTTCCTGTGAGAGTGAAGGGCAAGGTTGGCAGGAGTAGGGAACCCTGGATGTCAAGAGATATTGAGGCTTTGACCAGAAAAAAGGAGGCATGGCTCAGGAACAGACAGCTGGGATCAAGGGAATCCCTGGAGGTATACAGGGGAAACAGGAGTTTACTGAAGAAGGAAATCAGGAGGGTGAAAAGGGGACGCGAGATAGCTTTGGCGAGAAGATTAGGGTGAATCCAAAGAGATTCTTCAAATATATTAAAGGACAAAGAATAACTAGAGAGAGAATAGGACTCCTCAAGGACCAAAGTGGACATGTATGTGTAGAACTGCAGGCGATGGGCGAGGTCCTCAGTAAAGGCTTTTTATCATGAACCACACACACATTTTCAATTCTGTTATGTGTGTTGCATTGCAGTGTAACTTGTAGCATTCTTATGTTCTTGACAGTTATCCCACCAGTGCCATATAATCACAGCTCAGCAGGCAGTAATTTCTGAGATAGCAGGAACTGCAGATGCTGGAGAATCTGAGATAACAAGGTGTAGAGCTGGATGAACACAGCAGGCCAAGCAGCATCAGAGGAGCAGGAAGGCTGACGTTTCGGGCCTAGACCCTTCTTCAGAAATGGGGGAGGGGAAGGGGGTTCTGAAATAAATAGGGAGAGAGGGGGAGGCGGATAGAAGATGGATAGAGGAGAAGATAGAACATAAGAACATAAGAACTAGGAGCAGAAGTAGGCCGTCTGGCCCTTCGAGCCTGCGCCGCCATTCAATAAGATCATGGCTGATCTTATCGTGGACTCAGATCCACTTACCCGCGTTCTCACTGTAACCCTTAATTCCTTTATTGTTCAAAAAAAATCAACCTTTCTTTAAAAACGTTTACTGAAGTAGCGTCAACTACTTCACTGGGCAAGGAATTCCATAGATTAACAACCCTCTGGGTGAAGAAATTCCTTCTCAATTCAGTCCTAAATCTGCTCCCTCTAATCTTGAGGCTATGCCCTCTTGTCCTAGCTTCACCTGCCAGTGGAAACATCCTCTCTACTTCTATCTTATCTATTCCCTTCATAATTTT